GTCATCCAGCGGTCGTGTCTCCACCGACAACCCTGCCGTCATCGATTGGTTGGCTCGGTCGTCTTCCTCTTCCCAGGTCACCTCTGACACCTACAGCCAACGGTCGGTGGGTACGTCAGACACAACCGTTAGTTGGCATGGCCCGGGAGCAAGCCCACTGAAATCACGTGTCCTCTACCTGCCCCTGTCCTTTGGTGTTCCCTCACCAAGCGAAGTATCGCATGCTGTGGGCTCAGCCCCACTGTACAGTGAGGAAGAGCTAACAGAGGGCGGTCAGGAACGGGGGGAGACATCCGCCTCTTCAGCAGCCAGGCGAAGAAGTACTGGCGAGGAGAGTGGCTCGGTAGCCGGTCTAGAGACAGGTCTGTCTCCTGACCCACACGCAGCCGAGGGGGCTAGTAGTGAGGCGGAGACCCTAATTGATGATGATGAGGCTGATCGCACTTGGCAGCCTCGTCGTCATCAGGCTATTGCTTCCGCATCATCAGGAGAAGAGGGTGCCAGCTTGGCAGCGAGCAAAACAGTCGGTGGGTTGCCCAGGAGGCAGCAGGGTCGCAGCAGTGTCAGTGGAGGCAAACGGCCACGGAGTAGAGCACCAGCTCCACTGCAGCCTACCACCACGGCCAGTAGTGGTGCCGGTGTGCACGGAGGAAGTAGCAGTCAGCCAGTGAGGAGTAGCGGGGGCAAAGTTTCCTACTCGGCGGTGTGGCAATTTTTCGTCAAGCCGCCCGAGGAAGTAAACGTAGCCGTATGTCGACTATGTGGCCAGAAAGTCAAGCGTGGCCAGGGGGCCCATGTTGGGACTACAGCGTTGCGTCAGCATATGCAGCGTCGCCATTCGGTGGCCTGGGAAAACCGTGATAAAGATACGGCGGTTCTGCCTGCCCCAGCCCCCGCTCCATCACCCGCTCCGTTACTTGCTCCGTCACCCGACGTCAATCGCCCTCTATCAGCCAGTCAAGGCTCCAACACCTCTGCTGAGGGGAGTTGTCGCTCGTTGGCATCTTCCGCTCGTTCAGATGCTCCTTCTCCTGCTACTCCTCTTCACGGATTCCGTCAGCAGTCTTTCTTGGAATCCGTTTCCAAGAGACAACAGTTTGCGAGCACGCACCCGACGGTGCAGAAGCTGAACGTCCTCCTGTCCAAGTTGCTGGTGCTGCAGTCCCTCCCTTTCCAAGTGGTGGACTCAGCACCTTTCCGAGAAATGATGGCTTGTGCCGAGCCGCGGTGGAGAGTGCCAAGCCGGCATTTCTTCGCCAAAAAGGCAGTGCCAGCCCTGCATTCACATGTAGAAGAGATGGTGGGCCAGTCTTTGAGCATGTCGGTCTCTGCCAAAGTGCACGGCAGCGCCGACGTGTGGAGCTGTAACTACGGTCAGGGACAGTACATGTCATTTACGGCCCACTGGGTGAACGTGGTGCCGGCACAGCCGCACCAGCAACTTGGACAGGTCACGCCGCTTTTGCCTCCACGTTTGCACGTCCTTGGTCCAGCAAAGATGTCCGCCTCTACCACCTCTTCTTCCGCCGTGTCCTCAGCCGCCACCCCCGTGCCAAGTCCCATTACCCGACCGGCATATCACATGTGCAGGGCGCAACGGTGTCACGCTGTGCTGCACCTGGTATGCCTTGGCGAACGTAGTCACACAGGGGAGGAACTTCTGAGTGTAATGAACAGAGAAATCGACAGATGGCTGTCTCCGCGCAAACTGAAAATCGGAACCATGTTGACCGACAACGGAAAGAACATGGTGTCTGCTCTGCGTCAAGGAAGGTTGTGCCATGCGCCATGCATGGCTCACGTGTTCAATCTGGTTGTCAAGCGGTTCCTAAAATCCACCATCCCACTGCAAGACATCCTTAAAATGTCACGTAAACTTTGCATGCATTTCAGCCATTCCTACACCGCAAAGCACACCCTCCTTGAGCTGCAGCGGCAGAACGGAATTCCACAGCATCGCCTGATCTGCGACGTTGCAACAAGGTGGAATTCAACCTACATATGTTAGACCGCCTTTACGAACAGCGAAAGGCCATCACCGATTTCCTGATGTTACAAGCGGATAAAGGTACTCCCCTGTGTAACTTAGATGTCAGCCATTGGCAGCTCATGCGTGACACCTGCCGCTTGCTCAGGCCCTTTGAGGAGGCCACGCTATTCGTGAGTCGGCAGGACTATGGGATGAACGACGTCATTCCTCTGTTGCACGTCCTGGAACAAATGCTGTTAACAATGGCTGGTCAGGGTGCGGTAGACGTGGCGCACAGATCTCAACGCCACATGACCCCTGTGGGGGCAGGACAGGAAGAAGAGGAGGAGGTAGAGGAGGACATTGGTGCTCAGGAATTATTGAGTGAAATGGGTGGTTTTTCCACTCAGCGGACAGGAGTGGAGGAGCAGGAGCATCTGGTAGAGGAGGGAGGAGGAGACAGAGGACCCAGACGCACCGTGGCAGTATGCTGTGGAGATGGAGGCAGGGAGTCCCTCGCATTCCTTGGCACAAATGGCCCATAGCATGCTCGGTTGCTTGCGTAGCGACAGCCGAATAATAACCATCAGACAGAGGGATGACTTTTGGCTGTCCACCTTGTTGGACCCTCGCTACCATTCAAAAATGGTGGCCTTTTTCACACCTGCTGAGAGGGAGGCCAAAATAACGTACTATAAAAACCACCTATGTAGTCAGTTGGTCTCTGCCTTTCTGCGCCAACGTCCATCCTCAGACACTGTGGGCCCTGTGCGCTCGCGTTCCGCTGCCATGGCAGCAGGGGAGGGGTGGGGTGGTAGGAGCAGTGGCAGCTCCACCAGCAGCGGCTGCCTCAGTCTGCAGTCGATGATGAGTAGCTTTCTTCACCAGCGCAGTGAGGAGGAAACTACTAACCAGCCGCAGCAGCAGCAGCAGCATCAGGTGGACCTGGAGCAGGACCTCAAACAACAGGCTTGGGCCTACTTGGACAGCACCCTGCCAACCGAGGTAGACAATCCCCTTGACTACTGGGCAACGAAACTTGACCTTTGGCCCCAACTAGCTGAATTTGCCCTTGAAAGGCTGTCATGCCCGGCCAGTAGCGTGGCATCGGAGCGCGTGTTTAGTGCGGCAGGAGGTATTGTAACTCCGCGGAGGACACGACTGTCCACCCAAAGTGTGGAGAGACTCACGTTTGTGAAAATGAATCAGGCGTGGATTAGTCTGGATTTCAAACCACCAGTTCCTGACACAACTGACTAAATCCGCCATGAATCATGCCCCAAACATGTTATTATTTTTAACATAGGCCTCTGTATGGCCTTCAATTTAAGCTGCTTACGCTTCGCCACTCTGCCATGGGCCCTGTACCCTCCCATTGCTGCCTCCTCTGCTGCCAGGTCCAGAGTGTGTCATGGGTCCCTGTGTCTGGCCTCCCTCCCATTGCTGCTGCCAGGCCCGTAATCTGCCATGGGCCCCCGTACCGACTCCTCATGCTGCTGCCAGGCCCGTAATCTGTCATGGGCCCCTGTACCGCCTCCTCCTCATGCTGCTGCCAGGTCCAGAGTGTGTCATGGGTCCCTGTACGGCCTCCCATTGCTGCTGCTCCATCGCCACACTCTCCATCGCCACACTCTGCCATGTGCCACTTTCTGCCAGGTCTCCTCACAATCTGCATGGGCCCCTGTACCGCCTCCTCATGTTCCAGGTTTTGTCATAGGGTGCTGTATGGCCTCCCATTGCTGCTGCCAGGCCCGTAATCTGCCACGGGCCCCCGTACCGACTCCTCATGCTGCTGCCAGGCCCGTAATCTGTCATGGGCCCCTGTACCGCCTCCTCATGCTGCTGCCAGGTCCAGAGTGTGTCATGGGTCCCTGTACGGCCTCCCATTGCTGCTGTCTCCATCGCCACACTCTGCCATGTGCCACTTTCAGGTCTCCTCACACTGCTGGTGGGTTCCATTTTTTCATAGGGTGCTGTATGGCCTCCCATTGCTGCTGCCTCCACCGCCACACTGTGGCTCCACACTCTGGTTTTGGCCCCGTGACTGCTCAAATGAGTGAAGTGTGCGGTGATTCTAAGATCGACGGCACTCATCTGCATGTCATACTGACTGACAGTATTATTTCTCTTCCCAGCAGACTCCAAGGGCATTTAAATTAAAGGTACAGTGTTCTGCACTAATATAAAGGCTCTCTGAAAGCCTAGAACACCGACCACTTTTTATAAGTTAAATTCGCAGCGAATATATTCGACTCGAATCGAATTTATTCCGCGAATTCGCCGAATCAGCCGAATCAAATTTTTTAATACTTCGCTCATCTCTAATGTTATTGTTAATGTTTTGAATTTTATCCGTTGGGCAATGGGAAGCCAGTGGAGGGATTGGCAGAAAGGGGTGGCAGATACAGAACGGTTAGTAAGGTGGATGAGTCTGGCAGCAGCATTCATGATAGACTGAAGAGGGGATAGCCTGCGATGAGGTAGGCCAATGAGGAGGGAGTTACAATAGTCAAGGTGAGAGATAACAAGAAAGTGAATAAGGTGCTTAGTAGTTTCCGAGGTTAAGAATGGCGAATCTTGAAGATGTTGCGGAGGTGAAGTCTACAAGATTTGGACAGCGATTGGATTTGGGGCTGAAAGCACAGATGGGAGTCTAAGATTACACCTAGCACCCTGGCATGAGGGGAGGGACTGATGGCTGTATTATTGATCTTGATGGAGAAGTCAGGGGAGGGGGCACGGGCTGGAAGGAATAGTATGAGCTCAGGTTTAGAAAGATTGAGTTTGAGGAAGTGGAGTGACATCCATGCCAATATGTCACTTAGTAAGTGTCAGGGACCATCGCGACACATGGGTCTGCACATGCGTAGGAGTCTGTCAAGACATGCAGGCAGCAGGGCACTAGGACCCAGGCGCACTCGTCGCCTATGACGGTGCTGGGCAGGCACTAGGACCTAGGCTGCACCTGTCAGGTGCAGGGCGGGCTACTTAAACCAGCCTTGCACAGACACAAGTTGCCGTATGGTCTGATCTGATTCCTGTGTTCTGTTGCTGAAGATTCGTTGCTTACCTGCCTGGACCTGACCTCTGCTGACTTCTCCTGCTCTGACCCCTGGCTACGTTTGACCTCTCTTTGGATATTCCTACCTGATCTGAACTACTGGTACCGACCCTGGAGAGTGAGCTGACTATTCTTCTGCCTGCTGCCTTGTACTACGCTGACCTCTGTTACCGACCTGGCCCGTCTGACCACGCTCATCCGTCCATCCATCCGGCACGGATACAGCCATCCCTGCTTCCGCCTTCTGCCTCTTCACGTCAGGCTCTCCACCTGCACAGACCCCTGGCGGATTCCTCTACCACAGACGGGTGTACTCAGGGGCCGCGACCTGGTTCCAGTCTGCTCCAAGTCCATCCCCACCATCAGGGGCCCTGGTGAACAAGCAGGCTGGGGCTTAGACTCCGTGCTCTGGGGAATCCTGTCCCGTGGGCTGCTAGAGGTACCGCCAGGCGGTTGCTAACAGTAAGTTAATAATGCGCAAAGAGAGAGCGCGTCATCAGCATAGAGATGGTACTTGAAGACATGGAAGTTTATCAAGTGACCAAGGGAGGATGTGTAGATGGAGAAGAGAAGGGGTCCAAGGATGGAACCTTGAGGGACCACAACAGAAAGAGGAAGTGGAGAGGAGGAGTTATAGGTAACACTGAAGGAGCGCTGCAATAGGTAGGAGGAGAACCAGGAGAGAGCAGAGTCTCAGAGGCCAAGACATTGGAGTTTTTGAGGGGGGAGGGGATGGTCATCAGTATCAAAAGTGATCTATGATTGGCTACAGCTAATCACATGGTACAGAGTGCTGTGATTGGCCCATGTACCATGTGAGAGCTGTGGGCCAATCACAGCTCAGCAGGAAGAGAAGCAAAGCTTTATGAATCAGAATGATTCGTAACAGCTTTGCTAACATTATGATCACCGAGATCCACATTCCGCTGTGTACAAGTACTGTGGGCAGTCAGCAAGTGGTTAAACAACTCTCAGGATGGTATGAAATAATAGTATAAAGAGATGTAACATCAGCGGTCACTAAAATATAAGTACCCTTCCACTGTAAATCATTCAATAAATTATTAACATGAGTGGAATCTTTTTTTGATAAGAGAGAGTTTGAATAAGCAAGGGTTGAAAATACCCGTCTATATATCTTCCAATCCTGGAAGTGATGGAATCCAACCCACTTATAATAGGGCATGCAGGAAAGTTCACAGGGACCTTAGGAAACCTATGGAGACTCGTTTTTGACCTCTCTATGAAATGAGGGTCATGGCAGGTTGGTAAGATTGACTCTATCACTGTGGTGTTGCGTGGACTTTTTGCGACACTGGAGATGGTGCTTGGATGCTTTCCTTAAAGTTTAAATATTTTTATGGACTTTATTTGGATTTTTATTTTTGGATTTAGCGCTGCATTAGGTTATACATTTTACACACATTACACATTGCTAGGCACACAGGTTGCCCCTAGGTGTTAACCCCTTCCCAGCCAGTGCCATTACTGCAGTGACAGTGTACAGTATTAGCACTGATCACTGTATTAGTGTCACTATTGATGTCAGTGTCAGTTAGTGCCCTCCCAAATATATGATTTTTTGGATATGTTTTATAACAGAAAGTAGGAAATATTGTTATTTTTACATTTCTGATCTTTTTTCATTTATATAATAAAAATGTAAAAACCCAGTTGTGATCAAATACCACCAAAAGAAAGCACTATTTGTGTGGAAAAAAATGATATAAATTTAATTTGCGTACAGTGTTGCATGACTGTGAAATTGCCAGTTAAAAGTAGCACAGTGCCGAATAGCAAAAAAATGCCCTTGTCATGAAGGGGGTAAACGTTCCAAAGCTTACATGGTTAACTAAATTTAAGGTCTAAAATGTGCATTTTAACATGTGTGAAAAAAGTGAAAAAATCTCTGCAGGAATAACTGCTTCCGACCCGTAGAACATCATATGACGTTCTGCACTTTGAATGATCCCAGAATCTTTTTTTCTGCCAGTGATGCTGTTTGCTGTAAAAGCAAACCTAGCAGCTAAATAACTGCTGGATTGCTTTTACATGTGACAGGAGGAGTCCCTCCATCCCGCCGCCTTCTGCCATCTTTCAGAGCTCTCCTGTCCCACCAAGGAGCCCAGACTAACCATAGAGATAAGTGAGGAACGACATATTTTGTCACTTTCGCTCAGGTGGCTTGTGAAAAGCATCTGATCAACACAATCTGGCTTGTGAAAGCATCTGTTCAAACCTATCTTGGTTTGATCAGATGGTTTTATGGGCAGAGGAGACATCTGGGGTCTAACAGACCCCAGATGTCTCACTAAAGGGGACCTGTCGCTGCCCATGCTATCACAAAGGATGTTGTCCATCCCTTGCGATAGTCATAAAAATTATTTTAAAAAAATGAGTGTAGAAAAAAATGTTATAAAATAAATAATAAAATAAGGGAACAAAAACTTTAAAGTGCTCACACCCCTCGTGTGCTCACACACAAAGGCGAACACATATGTCAGTCCTACACACACATATGTAAACAGTGTTCACACCACACGTGAGGTATTGCCACGAATGTCAGAGCGAGAACAATAATTCTAGTGTCAGATCTTCTGCGTAACTCTAAACTGGTAACTTGTAAAGGCTTTTAAAGTGTCACCTAACCATACTTTGTTGCCATTCCATGGGCATACGCAATTTTAAAGCATGACATTTTAAGTATCTATTTAGTTGGCATAACATCATATTTATAGTTTACCAAAAATGTGGTATTAAGGAGATTCTAAGTAATTTTCTAGCAAAAAAAATTAAGATTTGTACATGTAGGAGAGAAATTGGCCCAGCAGGGAAGCAATTAAAGTGGTTAATTGTGATCCTTTGTAGCTATAGGGATCATTGTAGGCTGGTTTCCTAAGTCAATTAATGAATTTCTGTGAAAGTGTGCAGGTTGTGCCGGAATGTGGTTGTGTCCCTCAGGCTGCAGATGTCCATGGATTGGCGTTTGGTACTGATCACATTACCTATTAATTACTAACCTGTGGTCATATGACTGAGGAGATATGTGTAACAGGGAACAGTGCAGGCAGTGCATAAATAGTAGCCTTATGTTTTAAAAAATTACAAGTATATGTATATCACAATGGAAATGATTATACATTTATTGCTATGTTATAAAAGTTTAAAGTGTATTTATACTCAAAATGTAAAATCATATATTCATTTCAAGATTGTATGTCAATTATTTCTTGCCTATTCCTATTAATCTGAATGATTTTGAAGTTTGTAAATTTACTTTGTGCAAAACCCCCCACATATTTGCTTCCTTGAATTCTGTGACACATATTCACTATGTCCTGAGAGTGGACACTGCTATGTCCCACAATTCACAGAGCCTGCCTTTTGAGCTACAAAGGTGCTAACAGGAGGAGTTTGAGAAGGAAGTACAGGAATCACTGCTACAGCAAGATACCATGGGATATGTAGTCCTTGGAAATTGAAAGTAAACAGCGGAGGAAAAAACTACAAAGCACACAGGGAATTCAGAAAGCTATGAAAAGAGATGGTCAGGAGAGCGGCAGCAATCACATGAAAGGAGATTTTTTTTAAGGTAAGCTTATGTTGAATTATCAAAAATAACTTGCTTGTATTGCTGCTACAATGATGATGCTATAAAAAGAAGGTGCATGCTGTGAAAATAGCAAAACCTCTTAAAGGAAAACTCTACTGAAAGAAATATGGAAACTTGAATTTCTGATCTCCTTCTGAAAACACTACTTACCTGATGTTTTCCATTTTCTGTGACACTAACCACATAACAGAGGTCAGAGAAGGTTGGAACCCCTGATTAGTGTACTTTTTCTGGTCAGGGATTTAGGAAGTATTGAAGCCTTTGAACCAAAATGACAGCCTTGCAATTAGCATTTCGGTAGAACAGTTATGCAATGGCATCCTTCATATGCTCTTACTATAAATAAAATATTGGAAATGCCTTAGCATATAAGGCCTAACTCAATAGGTTTCATAGAGGAAGAGCGTTCTAAAGGAAAATGTTCTTGTTGCCTGCAATTACTCATAGTATCAGGTTCCTTGATTCATTTTTAAGTCTACACTGTTAAAAATACAGTTGGAAAATGAATAGTTGGAATGGGCAGCAAAATTTTATTTAGGCCCCTTTTATACAGGAGTGTCTATCTTTGCGAACTTTTTCCCAACTAGATTAAGACTGCCTGTAATACAAACTATTCCTTTGTCACAGTGCCATTGATATTATTGGCATTAAGGATGAGCAAATCTGCCTGGGTTTAATTTGGGAGGGGTATAGTGTGGTTGTAGAATCCTGCTTGAAATCCATGAAACCTAAACTTAGCATAGAATCTCATTGAAGACTATGAGAGCAAATCTTGATACTAATTTCTGCCTCTTCCAAAGCTAATAGGAAAGCTATTGTCAAGAAAGTGCATAGGGAGCTGGACACTGCCATGAGGGACATTTACCAAAGCAAGAAAAAAAAAAAAACATACAGCGTTGAGAGGGTATTTCAACCCTGTGAAAAAAACAATTGCAAACAGCAACAATTATGAAATATGCCCTATGAAAAAACACATGCAGCCTGTTATTACTATAGTGCATGTGAACAGGGACAGACTGTAAATGCTTTCGAAGAATTAAGATGCAACAAAGCATGAAAAACCCTTCCCTCTCCCAAAATTCTTCTAGGTACCCAGTATTTTGCCACCTATATGACATTCATTAGGTTTACATCTGCTTTACAGATATGCCAGTACCTACAAGCCCTATTCTAATCTCTGCCCATATAGTTGGTCAGCAGAACTCCGTATGCTTTCTTTATCACAGCTAAAGAACATTTTCAATATTGCGGCTGTGACTCTTTATTTAGTGAGGGGGCTGACTTGCCAAAAGCCGCTTATCGGTCCTTCTATGCCAATAGATAGCTGATCTAAGTGCAAAGGCCAGGCAATGAAGTATGGTTATAAAAATTCCTGCATAAATTCACCAGGACCACCAATTTTAAACCAATCCCTCCTCTTTATTTGGCATTTGTTCAGTAACTTGCCCTGGTTTATTTACATTAGAGGAAAAGCACCCTGTTGTACAATATACATTAGACATTAATATTCTTCCAACCTGTTTAAGATAAGTACGAGGAATGATAAGAATGTGTTGTGTAAACTGAGTTCAGCTCTAGCACAGGTCTACACTAGCTAATAAGACAAGTGCTGGCTTGGCCACAGCTCTGAAAAACATTTGCTAGCTGATGGATGAGCAGAAAGAGAACTTTCTACAGTATTTTGCAAATGTTTATTAAAGATATACAGTTGTGTTCAAAATAATAGCAGTGTGTTGAAAAACGTGAATAAAGCTCAAAATCCTTCTAATA